ATCAGCAGCAACATGAAACAGATCAGCAGCAACATGAAGCAGATCAGCAGCAACATGAAACAAATCAGCAGCAACATGAAACAGATCAGCAGCAACATGAAGCAGATCAGCAGCAACATGAAGCAGATCAGCAGCAGCATGAAGCAGATCAGCAGCAACATGAAACAGATCAGCAGCAACATGAAACTGATCAGCAGCAATATGAAGCAGATCAGTAGCAACATGAAACAGATCAGCAGCAACATGAAACTGATCAGCAGCAACATGAAACTGATCAGCAGCAATATGAAGCAGATCAGTAGCAACATGAAACTGATCAGCAGCAACATGAAACTGATCAGCAGCAACATGAAACTAATCAGCAGCAATATGACGCAGATCAGTAGCAACATGAAACTGATCAGCAGCAACATGAAACTGATCAGCAGCAACATGAAACTGATCAGCAGCAACATGAAACTGATCAGCAGCAACATGATGTGATTTTTTCCACAGTGATTATTCTGGTTAGAGATTCATGAGTCTAACAGCCTCAGGGTAGAAGCTGTTCCTCAGTCTAGTGGTTCTACACTTAATGCTCCTCAACCTCCTTCCTGAGGGGAGTGGGGCAAAAAGTGTGTGTGCTGGGTGAGTGGGGTCCTTCATGATGCAGGTGACTCTCTTCCTGCATCTAGAGGTGTAGATGTCTGATGGTGGGGAGGCTGACTCCAACATCTTCTGTGCAGCCTTCACCACTCTCTGCAGAGCTTTTCTTTCTGCAGCTGTGCAGCCTCCATGCCACACGTTGATGCTGGAGCACAGGATGCTCTCCACTGCACACCTCTAGAAGGAGGTGAGGACTGAGCTTCCCAGACCAGCTCGTCTCAGCCGTCTGAGGAAGTAGAGTCTCTGATGAGCTTTCTTCATCAGGCTGGTGGTGTTGTTGCTCCACCTGAGGTTGTCGTTCAGGTGCACACCCAAGTGCTTGTAGCTGGAGACCACTTCCACTGCAAAACGTGTGCCATGTCAGGACGTCCCTTTGCTTGTGACTTGTTGACATTTGTAAACGTAACAAGTTTTTAATTAATCTCGTCCGATTCACAAAACCAAACCAGTTTGGAGTGACACTTGTGCTGCAGGTTCCCCTGCCTCTATGACTTTATGTCAATAACCAGTATAGCTTTACTGTGCAATCATATTCTTACTTAGTATAGTGTTTGTCCCAAGTTTTCTTTTCTTGGAGTGGAACTGCTTATAAACTGGTAAATTCAATACATGAGGCTGGCTGGCTCCATGTCCCTGTCACTCACTGGTTTGTTGTATTTTGCATAAACCTGCCATCAAAACACACCACAGATCCTGCCAATCATTTCAGAGTCAGAGATTCTTTATCGTCGTTCGCTTCCTTATTCCTTACTTTATTCCTTATAAACGTTTAAATCAGGTATGAAAGCAGTGATTTAGACGCTTGGGTTGTTATTGATCATGTGACTTTGGCCAAACGAAACAAGCTCCAACACGGTGCTTCTGAAACGCTGCTTCGGCTTCAAACCGCCCATCACGTCCGCTTCTTCAGAATGTTTGTGCATGCATGTATTGCAAAATACATAAATAAAATTGCACCGTTTTTAAAAAAAAAAAATTTTTTATTGATCTTAATGTTTTAACAACTGTTTTATGTGTTTAAATGTTCTTGATTTTATATGTACAGCACTTTGTGGCAGCTGTGGTTGTTTTAAAGGGCTTTATAAATAAAGTATTATTATTATTATTATGGCCCTGTGATGGACTTGCGACCCGTCCAGGGTGTCCCCCGCCCCTCGCACAGTGATCGCTGGACATGGGCACCAGCGACCCCCGTGACCAAAAATGGAATAAGCGGGTAAAGAAAATGGATGGATGGATATTAAATAAATTCCGTGGGGGTTCTGCCTTCACTAAACTCCAGTGATAAACAACTTTCTTTTTTTACTATGCTCTGCTGTAGGTAATGGAGTTTTAAATGAGTTCATGTCTCTTATCTTTGTATTTCAGAAAAGATGTCTCACCAAATCAGACTGCGGCTGCTGCCCAGTGTCAGGTGTTTGTTCGATGAGCCCCTTCAGGTGAAGGTGTCTGGCTTGAGGTCAAAGCAGGTGATCACCATGAGAGCCAGATCCACAGATGAGACAGGAGTGTTGTTCAGCTCCTACGCCACCTACAGGGCTGATGGTGACGGGAAGATCGACCTGAACAGAGACTCCTCACTCAGCGGGAGCTACACTGGAGTTGAGCCCATGGGTTTACTGAGTTCGTTAAAAGCAGACGCCTTCAATAGATACTTCAACAAGAACAGAGCGTTGAAACCTTTCACGGTGAACTTCTCTGTACACGAGGAGGAGGGCAGGATGCTGGCAGAGGCGACCAATGAGAGGTTTCTGATGGCAGACGGGGTCGTCCGAGTTCCTGTCAAAGAGGGACATCTTTCTGGAGCCCTATTTATCCCTCCAGGTATGACACGTCCTCCACGCGCAACTATGAGCTCTCAACTAAAAATATACGGCCTAATGGGTGCGCCGTAGACACCAGTACAGATTCTGGAGCACTGAACAACTTGACAAAACTTTTTCTAACTAATGAACTTCACTAACTTCGGAGATTAACTAATATGAGGTTAAATAATTACCATCCTACAGTAAATGCAGTTCAGTGGGTTTTTTTTTTAATCTTTGGATTAAAGATGGAGGCCTCAAATGGATGTGCGCCATTGGTACTCTTTCTGATGAATAAAGCCATCTTTGTTAACTTGAACAAGCTGGACAACACTGCAAAAAGTGAGATTCGTTCTTTCCACATCAGATGGCATTAGGACTATCAGACACAACAGTTTTACATTTTGCATTTCTCAAGTCTTCGTTTTCTTTCGGCCGTTTCCTCTTCAGGGGTCGCCACAGCGAGTCGTCCTCCTCTATCCCTCTCTGTCTTCTGCATCCTCACTCCAACTACCTCCATGTCCTCCATCTGCATCCATATGTCTCCTCTTTGTCTTTTTCCTGGCAGCTGCATTTCTAACATCCTTCTACCAATATATCCACTGTCCTTCCTCTGGACATGTCCAAACCACTGTCCCTCCTCTGGACATGCCCACACCATCTCAGTCTGGTCTCTCTATCTTTATCTCCCAGTTGTTCAACCTGTGCTGTACCTCTGATGATCTCATCCATCCTTGTCACTCCTCAGGAGAACCTCAACATCTTCAGTGCTGCCACATCCAGTTCTGTCTCCTGTCTTTTTGTCCATGTCTCCAGATTCTCTTTGTGCGGCGCACCAACTTAATATTTCTGTAGTTGTTTCAACTCTGCAGGTGCATCTTAAAAAAAAAAAGTTTCAAATTATTTTGTCAATCATTTCAGAAAGTGACATTTTATTTTGAATAATTACACTTAGAGTGAAATATTTCAAGCGTTTATTTCTTGTAATTTTGAGGATTATCACTTACAAATAGTGAAAAACTCTAATTCAGTGTCTCAGAAAATTAGAATATTGTGAAGAGGTTCAATATTCGAACGTCATGATGTCACACCCTGATCGGCTGTTTAACTCCTAGACGTGAGCTACAAATGTCTCGTTCCTCAAGTCGAGCCACTCCTGAACCGGACAACATCAGAAGTGTCTTACCTGCTGAGGAGAACTGGACTCAGTGGTTCAATGTCCTCTTGAGATGAAAGTAAATTCTGGAAATCAAGGTCCCAGAGTCTGGAGGAAGAGCGGAGAGGGCCAGACTCCACATTACTTGGAAGTCCAGAGTGAAGTTTCCACAGCTGGTGCTGGTCCACTGAGTTTTCTGAAGTCCACGGTCAATGCAGCATCTGCCAGGACATTTTAGAGCTCTTCATGCTTCCTTCTGCTGACGAGCTTCATGGAGATGCTGATTTCATTTTCCAGCAGGACTTGGCTCCTGCTCACACTCACACACAAAAAAAAAAAAGGTACCAAAAGTATGTAATTTAAATTTTCTGACACAGAATTTTGATTTTTCATTATTTCTAAGCCATAATCATCAAAATTACAAGAAATAAAGGCTTGAAATATTTCACTCTATGTAGTAGATCAGCTTCACTTTTTGAAATGGCTGACAAAAGTTTTTTTCACCAGTACATCACCCTCGTTGTTAAAAACTGGCCCCAGCACACTTCTCCATTCCTCAAAAATGTCCTTACATAATTGAACTGAAAATCTCACGGTCTGCTATTAGGTCCAAGTGACTTTCCCTTAAACTCTTGAAATTTTCAGAACGTAATTCTCACTAATCTTTCCTACTTTGTGGTCAACAGTTTCTATGGCCTCTTGTTTAATCCACCAGGATTACTTGAGGTAGACGGCATTGTGCTCCCTAGTGTTTGTTTGTTTTTTGTGTGTATTTCTTAAATGAATTTAGGCAAACTCAATTTATTGCCGCCTGTAGCTTTTCTGGTATTTTGGACACAGTATTTGGAAACATTTTTATAAAATCTAACCCCATCAAAAAAAAATAAATAAATAAAAAATCAGTGAGAGGCTGAACAAAAGCAAAATTAATTTGAGAACTAAATGCAAATTAGGTGACATGCTTCAGAGAATATTGTTTTACTTGTTCATTCTTTGGGTTTTAGGAGAAGGTCCATTTCCTGCCGTGTTGGATTTGTCCTCCTTCGTGTCTGAGAAAAGAGCCGCTCTGCTGGCCAACAAAGGCTTCATCGTTCTGTCTGTGTCTGTGTTCAGTGACAAGCCTTACGAGGTCACAGAGATGCACCTGGACCGTTTTGAAGAAGCTGTGCATTACTTAAATGGACTACCTCAGGTGACGAGCTGTGTTCTTCTTGTTAAAGAAATGCCTGGAAACCTATTTATATCAGGTTACTGCTTCAGTTTGTTCTGTGACGTTATATCATAGGGGATACTCAAATTTTTATACGTTTCATTCATCCATTATTATCTTCTTATTTTGGAGTCGGGTCTCGGGGGCAGCAGCATGAGCACGGAGGCCCAGACACCTCTTCCAGTTCTTCTGGGAGGATTCCAAGATGTTGCCAGGCCAGCTGAGAGATGTAGTTTTTCTAGCGTGACCTGGATCTCCTCCCAGTGGGACGTGCCGGGAGCACCTCCCTAGGGAGGCACCCAGGGGCGTCCTCACCAGATGCATGAACCACGTCAACTGGTTCCTCTTGATGTGGAGGAGCAGCAGCTCTACTTCTGAGTCTCTCCAGGGTAACTGAACTTCTCATCCTATCTCGAAGGGAGAGTCCAGCTACCCTGCAGAGAAAACTCGTTTTGATCGCCTGTATCCACGACCACCTTCTTTTGGTTTGTGACCATATGTGAGAGTAGGAACATTGACTGACGGGTAAACCAAGAGCTTTGCCTTATAGTTCAGCTCCCTCTTTACAACACAATCTGCAATACTGCAGAAGCTGCACTGATCTGTCAGTCGATCTCACGCTCCATTCTTCCCTCACTTGTGAACAAAACTCTTGAGCTACTTGAACTCCTCCGCTTGAGGCAGAACCTCACCCTCAACTCGGAGAGAGGAACCCGGGCAATTTTGACCGAGGACCATGGCCTCTGATTTGGAGGTGTTGATCCTCATCCCAGCTGCTTCACACTCGGCTGTGAACTGCTCCAGGAGAGCTGAAGATCACGGAACGATGACGCCAGCAGGACCACGTTATCTGCAAGTAGCAGAGATGGAATCCTGAGGCCATCGAACTGGACTCCTTCCACCCCCTGGCTGCACCAAAAAACTGTCCATAAAAGTTATGAACACAATCTGTGACAACGGGCAGCCCTGGTGGAGTCCAACTCCCACACTGAAGAGTTCGCACTGGCAATGCGAAGAAAACTTTCACACCACTTGTATAGGAACTGAATGGCCTAGTAACAGGCCACAGTGTACCTCAAGAAACATGGCTGACTGCCTTCTCCAAGCCCACAAAACACATGTAGGCTGGATGGGCAAACTCACATAACCCCTCAATGACCCCTGTAAAGGTAAAGAGCTGGTCCATTGTTCCACAGCCGGGATGGAACCCATATGGTTCCTCCTATATCCGAGGTCCGACCATTGATCTGACTCGTTTCTCCAGTACCTTTGACTAGACCTTACCAAGGATGCTAAGGAGAATGATGCCCCATAACTGGAACACTCTTTTAAAAAAGGGGAACCACCACCCCAGTTTGTCAATCCAGTGGCACTGCCCCAGATATCCACGCATTGTTGAAAAGGCGTGTCAAACAAGACAGCCCCACAACATCCAGCGCCTTGAGGAACATGAGGCAGATCTCATCTACGTCAGAGTCCTGCCGCTGCAAAGCTTTTTAACGACCTCAGCCACGGTTAAACAAAGACCAATCCTGAAGTCCCTCAACTCAGAAGTATTCCTTCCACCTCCCGACAACATCACTGACCAGTGACTGACTGGTTGACCTCATTCAGGGATATTTTTATATATTGTTTCTGCATTTTGGCTTAAATTTTTGTGAACAAAATATAGTTGGAAAACAATACCTCATTTCTTATATCCTGATGCATGCTCAATAATCCAGGTATAAAAATCCAAAAAAGTTCAATCTGGTCCTCTGGACATTCAAAAAAATCATTTCTTATACATTTTGTAGACAGTTTATTAGGTCCTGCTTTTTAAATGTTTTGAAAATGTCAGACGTTTTTTTTTTTTTTTTTTTTGGGGTGTACTGTACTTTCACACATGCTTTGGTAATTTAGTTTGTCAGCTAACTAGCTTGGATTGATTTCTAGATTTCGGAGTTTTTATGTTCATCCAGATTTACCTTCATGTTATGAACTCGACGTGTTTAATTCTTTGTTTTCTACAGGTGGGCAGTAAAGGAGTTGGCGTCATATCAAGGTCAAAGGCAGCAGACATTGCACTTTCACTTTCTGCGTTTGTGTCAGGAATCAAAGCTGTGGTTTGGATTAACGGCTGCTGTGCTAATTCAGCTTATCCACTCTACTATAAGACAAAACTCATTTTTCCTGGATTAATGTTCGATCCCAAAAAAATGATTCCGACCATTTCAGGGGCAGTCATATCCAAATACTCCATTCAGAACCATCAAACAGAAGAGAACAGAGCCACCGTGATCCCCATTGAAAAGGCCAACAGTCAGTTCCTTTTCGTGGCCTCCGAGGACGACCTCAGCTGGGACAGCAAGGCCTACATGGACGAGATGGTGGAGAGACTGAAGCGTCATGGGAAACAGAACTTTGAGACTGTGAGTTACCCTGGAGCGGGTCACTATTTGGAGCCTCCTTATGGACCGCACTGTCCCGCCAGCCCCCATGCTGCTGCAAGACAGTCGGTCCTGTGGGGGGGTGAGCCCAGCACCCACAATGTAGCTGAGGTCCACCTGTGGGAGAAGGTCCAGAAGTTCTTCAAGGCTCATTTGAGCTGTGATGCTGCTCAGTCTAAACCCATGACATAGAGTCAAACAAGAACATTAAAATATTTTATGGCTGAAATTAAAATGACATATTTTAAGTGTTTATGAGTTACAAAGATGTTGGACCCATTAAGACCTTCTAAACAAAACTGAACTCTGATGTACTTCATAAAAATCTCGACTCGTTTTGTTGGTTGTCACTTTCTCATCGTTTATTATGTTTAAAATCAAAGAAAGAATATTAAATATAATGAAAATAAATAAAGACTTCTCTCTGGCACCAGAGTTTTTAAGTAGCTAATTAAAATTAGCTAAATGTCAAACATCCTCAGTAAATTTTAATTCATTTTATAAAACTTGTTGATGTTCAGACAAATTTAAGCATACTAAACCAAATGTCCACGTTTAGATGGTACATTTCTATTTTTAATTGTATTTACTGACTTAATTGATTGCTGCACAGTAACATATTGACTAAATTAAATGTGTCAAATGTTTAGTGTTTCTTTTTTTTTCTGCTGGTCAAAACACGACACTAATAATTCAAACACACCTCAACAAAGCAGGTCAAGATGTTTTTGTCATACAGGTTTATCACAAAGCAACTGCAGCTTTTTAACTTTTCTAATTAATAAGAATGATTTATCTTTCCCTGGTTTTGATCATTTGTAAAGTAAAGCTCTATGTGTTGTCATCATATGTTTCTATACAATGACGAAATTAGTTTTCTGTATTTAACCTTTTACACCTGACACACACACAGGTGGAGCAATTAGGGATTGGGTGTCTTGCTCAAGGGCACCACGACGTGTGGGCATGGCGGGGAGTTGAGCCTGTGACTTTCTGGTCCCTGGTCAGCTGCCCTATCTCTTCCATCTTGGCCCCCCATTTGCTTATCAGTCCTTAATCACCTCAGATAGTCTCAACACTTGATCTAAACAGAAGTTATTCTGTAACACTGGCCCATTGTTAAACTCACTAATATTATTTAACAAATTGCCAGAATATCACTGTTGTATCCTGATTTTATAACTTAATGTATTAGTTGTGTTTCCACCCCACACCACTAGAGGGAGTAGCAGAGTTTAAGGATGCAACTAAGGAACAGCTGAGAGTGAATGTATCACAAAAAATATTTTTATTTCATTTTTTAAAGTTTACTCGTGGTTACAGCGTTCTCTGACAAATACCTACTATAATGAAATTTCCTCTCAGTCACTGCAGTCATTTAATGTCAACTCAAAGGTTATTAAAAATAGAACAGGATTTTGAAGCTGTATTAATCTCTATGCCATAAATCAGAACCGGATCCAGATGAGAATGAGTAGATGTTCTGGCGATTTGCGTAAAACCAGTTGATTCTATTAGATTTTTAAAGGTTATGCTTGAACCATCACGTTCAACATCTACATGAATATTGAAATCACCTATTATTATGACTTTATCAGTATTAAACAATAAGTCAAGACAAAAACATCTGAGAATTCAGGCAAAAACTGAGAATAAGGGCCTGGTTTATAACAAGTAAAAGAGGCTTCTGGTTTACAGTTTGGATGAGAAAGATTGAAGAGCAATGACTCAAGAATTATACCTAATAATGGGTTTATAATTATCCTAACCGAAATATAGCAGCTCCTCCGCCTGGACCTGTTCCAACATGAAAATTTAAATTAGCAGGAGATTCATTTATACTAACAAAAGCCTCCAGTTTTAGCCAGTTTCTGTCAGACAGAATAAATCAATATTGTGACGTGTTCGGGCAAGATCCATCAGAGGAGACAATAAATAATCAGGGACAGGTGTGTGCAATCATCAGAGGAGCAGCAAACTGAATAAACTGCTCTCAAACAAACAGAGTAGCGCTTCCAGTGGTTGTGGCAGCTCCCTTTATAGGGAGGGTGTCATTTGCAGTCAGGGATGTCGGCGATTAAAATAGTTAAAAGGTGAATTTTAAAAAAAGGTTCAAGACTAAAAACAACTGGACTTTATTTGTAACAGAAGACGTTTCGCTTCTCATCCGAGGAGCTTTCTCAGTCCAAAGAACAGAAAGTGGGGTTTGAGTTATAAAATACCGTATTTTTCGGACTATAAGGCGCACTTAAAATCTTTTAATTTTCTCAAAAAATCGACAGTGAGCCTTATAACCCAGTGTGCCTTATGTATTGTGCTTACTGACCTCGAACCAATTGTGTGTGGTATAACTTAATGTTGAGCGTTATTGTGAATGAGTTGAATAAAGTTTGACTTTTCTGACTGTTTTGTTTTGCTTAATGCTCCTTATAATCCGGTGCACTTTAGTCTGAAAAAGAGGGTAGATACATATGCAGATTGCCCTATCACTCCTCACAAAAGGGGTTTGTTAGGGTCTTTGTTAGTCTGACTCACAGATGAGCCACTCTGGTCTCATGGATGAAATTCCTGATTGTTGTGAAAATGACATAATGCAGTTTTAGGCCTGATACTAAGTTTTTTTTAAAGTTGACACCTGAGACCTCCTCAGATGGGAGATCACCTGACTCCTCCCGATGGACATCCATCTGCATCCTGGTTGGATTCCTCACCTCCTGCTCCTCCAAACACAGAAGAACTAAGGGCAGCTCTAATTTAGACAACAGCTCGTATGGGTTGTCAGTTTGTTCATGAAATGTTTGGTTAAAGTTAATTCCTGCTGTGGGAGATGATTGTTAGATGTTGTGTAAGCTTCTGAAGGCACGTTCAAATATTTCTTTTGATTTGACGTTATCGCTTTTGATCATTTATTGATTTTCAAAAAGGGTTTCATCCATTACTTTTTATCCTTCTTTAGTTGTAAATTAAGTTTGTGTACTTTTAGTTTATCAAGAGATTTGTAATATTTACAAACTGTTTGACATGAATTTTGCTGTTGCCATTGGTAGAAGTTACTTTTGTTTAATTTTGTTCAACTGGCCAAATAAATTGCTTCTATTCAAAACTTCATTCCACCTGGTTTTTATGTTACCGCCCCTTTTCCAGGCTGAACAACGTAACATCTGGGCTTTAGGTGGCTGCAGTCCACGCCTCGCTCTGATCTGGTGTGGATCCAGTCCAGGAGGTCTGGTCGTCGATCAGCTAATCCTTGGGGTGTTGGACGACATCACGAGCTCAGTGGTAGGGGTTGAGCGATATGAACTCATTTTACCTTTACTGTTAGCTTGGGGTGAGGATCAGGTGGAAGGGTTTGGTTTGATAGTTTTATGCATC